GAACAGCAGAAAGGATTTGGTGTTACAAGGAGATTCAGCTACAAGCCAGCTTTGGGTTTTGGTGCAGAACCCTAACAGGTAACAGAGAGGAAGGCTGAGCTTGTGACTAAGGCAAAAGAGCTAGATTAGGTTCTCAGCTCTGAGACAGATTCTGTGTGCCCTTGGACAAATCACTTAATGTCTGTACCTCAGGTCCCCATCTATAACATGAGACTGTTCTAGTACCAGCCTTTTGTCTTTCTGATTGTAAGCTGTTTGGGGCAAGGATTGCCCTTACTATGGGTATATGGACTGTCGACCATGGTAGTGCCCCGATCTCAGCTGGTGCCTTTAGGAGCTACACAGATACATACTCCTGTATTTTCATTATGTTCCTTTTTAGTTGGATGTACTTAGATAGCTGTGGTTGTTTTTCTGATACTAACTTTAGTCCTTCCTGTCTATATCCATAGTTTCATTGCATGCCTAACACCCATGGTAAATACCATTTATAGAATGACAGTGCAGTTTATTTGGTTACACTTTCCTAACTGCTGAGCAGCGACATGGTATGAATAGTTCTCATGACCACATGTAAATTCCCCCACTGTATATATATATATATATACGCCCTGCTGCTTCCTTGCAGGGTGCATAGCAAGCCATGATGTCTGCAGCACACCAGAAATGTCTGAAACCTGTTTAGCAACACTAACTGGTTCACTCTTCATAGCCGCTGCTGAAGTTAGCCTGGGGCTGCAGTAGCTTTGGTGACAGTCGCTGTGCTCTAGAAAAATCCAAACCAAACCTTCACCTTTTCCTTCACCTTGAAGGCAGCCCATTGCAGCTGTTCCTGGTGAAGGGGCCTTTCTGTTGATTCCTTTCTGCATTCAGATTGTATCGGGTTAGACTGAGCTTTCAGGCACAGCCCTGAGTATAGTGTGGAATGTGAACTGCACCAACCCAGGAGGAGCTGTGACAGATGCCACGTGAGGCATAATTTCCTCCCTGCCTCCTTCTTGTTCAAGGGTGTGGGTAGTAATTTGCTCTTTTCCTGTGCCCTCAGCTAATGATAGGTACACCTACACTTGGTGCTGGAGGGTGTAATTTCCAGCTCAAGGAGCAGTACCCTGGCTAGCTCTGATCAAGCCAGCACACTAAAAATGCAGTGCAGCTGCAATGGTGTGAGAGGGGCTATGCCCCAGGTATTATCCCTTCAGAGACTCTAGGCACCTATTTGGGGCAGCTAGCCCCTCGCACCATGGCAGCTACATAGCTATTGTTAGCACACTAGCTCTATCAGAGCTGGTACTGGTATGTCTCCTTGAGCTTGAATTGACACCTTCCAGCTCTAGGGTAGACATCTGGGGGGAGGGATAGCTCAGTGGTTTGAGCATTGGCCTGCTAAACCCAGGGTTATAAGTTCAATCCTTGAGGGGGATCCATCTAGGGATCTGGGGCAAAAATCTGTCTGGAGATTGGTCCTGCTTTGAGCAGGGGGTTAGACTAGATGGGGTCCTTTCCAACCCTGATATTCTGTGACTCTACCCTAGGGCATTGCTTGCTGGAGGATTGAGTAAAGGTTCTGTGTATTCACCATCCACCTGGATTAAGTTTCAATCAAAGACAGTGACGAGGGTTGGAAGGAGAAGGGGGGAAGAAATTCCTGCTATTAGTCAAACTATTTAGGTAAGAAAAAAACATGCATCAATGTAAAAAGAAAAGAGATACTCAATCCATCATGGGCAACTGACAAACCTCCTTTGGGGAACAGAGCCCAGGTTGAGTGAATTGGCCCACAAAGATGATATGTTTCCATCTGATAAAAGCAAAAAACAAAAGCCAATCCCATTCTCTGGACAAACAATTGCACAGCTGAGAGCTGTAGGGAGATGTAACACAGGAGAAAGCAGTATATTATGGTTTAATGTTCTGGACAAGACACACTCCTATACGTGACTTTAAATTTTGGGAGGAGGGGTTTGAATTTTTCATTCTCCATCCTAGCAACTCCTGACAGCAGCTAGCTGTCTTTCTGCACCTGTTCAAATATCTGTCATGACATCCAGCAATAGACAAGCATGTTAGCTTGATTTTTTGTTCAAGTTAGCGATCTGTTGATCTTTATATCTTCGTCATTCTGTTTCAGTGTTAACATCCCATGGCAATGAAAGGGAAGAGTTCACGCTTGCATGTGAGCTATTTTGTCTGGCTGTATGTCTGCAGATTCTGGCAGATGTCACTGAATTGGTTTACAATCAGTTTACATTTTGAAGGCGATGTTTGCAACCAAAATGGCAGGAGACTTTTTTTTAAAAATCAAAGGTTAAACTGTGGAGTATAATTATGCAGCAACTTTTAAAACTACATAATATGGTGATTTGCCCAATCATACAACTGCCTTACATGCTTGGCCTTGTAAATAGTGAATAATGGCAAAAACTCCTGAGCTGGCTATTTTATAATTTCCAGTATTGTTATTACCAGTGGTGTATTCTGGGTCCCATTCTGCTGGTATAAACACATCCCTATAGAATACAAACATACCCTACATGCAAAGACTATGAGCACATCTTCCTTATAACAACTAGGGCAGCAGCATCCGTATACACATCTCTTGAAAAGGTAACTGCTCCTGTTGATGGACATAAGAAACAGCAATTATTCCATTCCACAGCAATCTAAGCCACTTTGCTACCAGCCACCATGGAAAGCTGCATTTTTTAAAATTCTTACAGTAAAATAAATTGTTTGAATGCTTTGTAAATGTTTTCTTTACATTATAAATGAGCACTAAAGGATGATCAGGAAACTAAAAGATTGCTGGACCCATGTTCTTGGTATTGCTACTCTTCACACAAATCAGTCTCAATCTTCTTTTTCCGGTGAAAGTTAGCAAGAAGATTTTGGTAGTATGGGGCTGGCCCTACCTAACATCCTCAGCTGCTTATGATCTTATTTCAGGCCTGGCTGTGATGCAGACACATTGCTAGCCATATTGACTGGTGGATACCTTGGGACTAAGGGCAATCACTAAGTGCCTCATTCACACCGGCCATACAGCTGCAGAATTACTCCTGATTTACATGGAGGTGAAATTCACAAGTTACCTATTTTGCCCTCAAGACTGGATTACTGCAATGGTCTCCAAATGTGATCGCTCTAGGATCACACTTGGAAAGTTTGGTTAGTGTGGAATGTGCTTGCTTGCTTACCTAGCAGTACTTTCTGCCTAGAACATGCTACTCTGGCAAGCACTGTAGGTCACACGAGCACCCAGGTGGTTTTTGGTACAGTTCAAGTCGTTTGGTCTTTAGCTAGAAAGCCCTTTGTGGATGGTGCCCTGTGCAGCTTAGAAATAGCCTCTGCCTTCTGGCTTTCATCCAGCAGGGATGCTGAGGCTGGCACTCCCTAAGTACATCTGAAATGTAGGCAGGGCACTCTGCTGAGACCCGACCTAGCTAAAATACTTGTGAGGCACCAGGAACATCATATCTGACCACCTTATGGCTGTCAACTCTTCACGCATGCCTAGGAGGTGGGGACATGCCGTGTCTCACTTTCCAGGTGGGGCAGTGAGCAGGAGCGCCGCCAGCTTTTCTGCCATCCTAGGCGGCGGAAGGGCCCGCCCCGAAATGCTGCCCCCCACAGAGGCGGCGGAAGGTCCCACCGCCGAAATACCGCCGCGGTCGCCGACCCCCAAATTGTAGCACCCTAGGCGACCGCCTAGGTTGCCTAATGGGTTGCACCGGCCCTGGCAGTGAGGTACAGTGGGAGGAAGGCCTAGATTCACAAAGGGTCTCAGGTGGCCAATTTTGGTGCTTTAGTCCTGGTTTTAGGCTCCTCTATAGTTCACAAAACTCCCTTGTTGCCTCAATTTCTGCCTCTGAGCACACACACTGCTGCCTCCCTCTGGGCATCTTGATGCCTATCTCCTGTCTATGCCTGAGAGCAATGCACACATTGGGGGAAGATCAGTCTTGTTAGGGCCTGGGCTAGTGGGTGTGCCCCGAGGCTGCCTGCTGGATTGGGTCCCATTCAAAGTCTGGCTGGGCAGAGGTTGCTACTGCAGCCAACCTTATAACTGTTAGCCCCATGGGTAGCACACTCGCCAGGGATGTGGGAGACTGGGATTCAAGTCCCCTCTCTCTGCCAGAGGGGGAGAAAGGAGGGAGACCCCTGTTCAAATCCTCTCAGGAGAGTGCTCTAACCACTGGGCGATGGGAGACTCTGGTGTGGGGTCCTATCAATCTCTCCTGCTGCATCTAAATAATTAGTCACTGGAGCAGGGGGTTGGGTTGGACCCTGGGTCCCCCCACCTCCCAGTGGGTGCCCTAAACACTAGGCAACAGAGTCATTATCTCTCTCTGGCCCAATGACTCATTATTTATATTGTTTATAAAGAACCCAAAAATCCAAGACTTTGTTTATAAAGAACCCAAAAACCAAGATGTGAGTACAGCGGCCCCGGAGTGTTTCTGCAAAAGCCACAACAAGGGGTGGGGGACCCTGACCTGGAAGGGCTCTTGCCTCACCTTACTTCTTTGCTCTCCGAAGTTCTCCTTCTCACGCCATACACATTCCCCCTGTAAGCTGCCTCCCAGCTGCTAATTCAGTGTCATCTTAGGCCAGCACCCAGGAGAGAGCGACCTGGGGCTAAGGGACTGAACCAGAAGCTGCTGTGGGAAGGCAGAATAGGAACTGGCTGTGGGAAGAAAGGGCTGGGTTGTGGCATTTTGGAGGGATGGGATGCAGGATGCAGGAAGGCTAGTGGGTGTGGTGGGGGGAAGGGCAGCACGTTTGGTGGGGTGTATGGGGGAAGAGAAAGAAGAAGAAGTGAAAATCAGTGAATTTGCCTTCATTTCCCTAGTGCAGTTCACTGAGAAGGAGCACACCTGTCCAGTGCTGACAGCTCCTTTGCAACTCGAGGAAAGTTAGAGGAGGAACTATGAAACCCAAGGGGGAGGTGCTAGCCAGGCTGTCTTCAGCTCCTGAGCCATAAAACATTCCACTTGACTACAGTTCAGACTACAGAAAACAAGTGCAGCAGACACGTCTGTAATGTCAAGCCGTGTGACAGGTAACCCAGCTGTTCCTTACTGTCTAATGACTCCAGCTCTGTTACATGGCAAGAAAATAAAATCTAACTTCTTAATTGTGATTGTTTTCACGAATAGATGGCAGTGGATCAGATTCCCACAGCAAGCTAGACAGATTCATAGAATGGTATGTAATGCTGGGGCAGCCCCTTTTTATTACTGAGCATGAGTGAGTGTGTTTTGAAGAGTTGGAATTACTCTAATTTGTGGCTGTTTCACTTTATCTAGGTAGTTGCCATGGAAAAAAATCATCATCCTAGACCTGTTGCATGTATCTTTCTTTCTTTTTCCCTTTCTGCGTGCATTCTGTAACTGTCAGTCTCTCCTAACCTAGGTGTTCGCTGTTAGCAGACCAGATTTAAATTCCTCTTTACAAAGGATGCTAGGTTGCTCTGGGGAGCTTTGTTAATAATCAGTCAATAATTAATGATCACTAATAATATTTTCATAAATTTATATAGTGCTTTAAACCATAGAATAAAATACTTTCCCTGCTCTGTATTCTGCATTACTTTCTAGTGTCCAAGATATTATTGTGCAATAGCACCCAGATAAAATCACATGTTTTCCTATTAACCATGTCAGTGCTGTTTAGCATACCAGGTACACAGGGGAAATTCACTGCCTGGGCTGCTCCCTGTACCTGCTTGGTCCTTGCTTATGGCACTGCCAGCATTGCACTGCCAATTACTGAAAGTTAGGGGCTGGCGAGGGAGGTACTATTCCTAGCTGGATTTGGTTTAGGCTATGACTCAGATTCATGTTGTGGGTGTATCCTCCGGGCTAGCCTTTGAGGTTTGGTATGAGGCTGCATCAGCATCAGGGTTCAGGGTCAAGCCCCCATCAGGTGTAAAGCTCTTGTCTTGATTTTATGAACGTCACCAGGCTGGCCGCCTCCCAGCTTCCCCCTCATGGCTAGAGGTTGCTCTGTAGGTGGCCTGCCTCGCCTTGGTTTCCCCCTTCAAGAGATTTCCTCAATAATTCACAAACCCTTTGTCCCTTCCCATCCCTTCTAAGCTTCTGTGTTATTAAATTAACAAACATTTAAAATAAAGTTTTCAAGTCCCTCTGTTCTCTGCTGGAGCTTACCTGCTGCAGACTCCCTCACTCTGCAGCTTCCTGCTGCTCTTCTAAGGGAATCGAGTGACCCCTGCTTAAGTGTGCCTCCTCAGTAATCAGGACTGGCTGTCCTCTAGCCCTTCCTGTTAAAATGACACTGAAATCTCACAAGTGTTAGGGTGGAAATGTTTGTGAGATCAGCTTCTCTCCTAAGATTCTGGCCACATCTGAACCAGAAAACAAACACCTTTTAACTGAAACCATCCAAGTGGATTTGGGATTCAGGGACTTGAATCTGACCTGCCCCGTTTGGCAGACATCGAAAGGGGCAGGGACATGAATCACCAGACTGTATCGTTAACAGCCCGTGTAACAACACCTGTTAATTGCAGGCTGATACAGAAGCTCAGTTACATCAGCGTGACAACCGGCCATGATGAGTACATGAAGGAGATTGGAGGGAGGCAGCAGAGGTGAGAGCCAGGAGGCATTTAATCAGGGAATGACAAGGGTGGACTATTCCCCCTCTAAATCAATAAATTAGTTAGGAAGTGGGGGGCCCTTCCCACTGGCTTGAGCCAGGCACAGAGTGGTACAGGGCACAAGTGGGCTCAACTTCTGCTGCAGGCCTGCGTGGCTTCTGGGCAGTGGCAGCATGCAGCAGCAGCCTGCTTTGCCAGCCAGGTGTGCTAGGAACAACACCAAACTCAGCTCATGTAGTACCTGCTCCTGCCAGGGCCTCGGCACCTCAGTGCTTTGTGCTAGGGATGTGGAACAGAGCAGTAACAGACTCTGCAGAACCCAGCTTGTGCCCAACAACGGGATAGAGCAAGGGCGATTCTAGCTCCTTTCCAACAGAGTGTGTTGCTGTGACATGTTCTGGAGCTGCCACCTAGCGTTCAGTGGTCTCCCCACACTGCACGGTACTAGGGTGACCAGATGTCCTGATTTTATAGCGTCAGTCCTGATTTTTGGATCTTTTATATAGGTTCCTATTATCCCCCACCCTCGTCCCAATTTTTCACACTTGCTGTCTGGCCACCCTACACGGTACCAGGATGGCTGAGGGCCTCTGTCCCTCTCTTGCAGTTTAACCTGTTACCCTTCGCCATGATATCTAAGCACCAGTTCTCCCCCGCTCTAGCCCTGGACACTCTAGGGAAATCAGTGCTGAAGGTGGATTAGTTGTCCATGAAAACAGGACAAAGCCCTTTTCAGCCCCACTACAAAAAGCATTTGAGACTTCAGTGCCACAGCCCACTCCTTCCTGTCTACACTAGTAGTTAAATCTCTCAGCACCAGCTCAAGAGCATCCAGTACTGATGAACATTTACAGTCTCCCAGTGGAGGCTGGGCTTTTGTTAGTCTGGACAAGGCCTGAGAGACAGAGATTTTTCTTCAAATACTTGACCTCTGAGCTACCACCAATGCAGCTTCCCCTGTGGTAACAATGACGGGAGTGCTAGCGTCCACCAGCATTTTAACCAGTGTGTTATCTGGACCTGCTCTCAACAGGTGGCTAAACTACCTATGCCTGGTCTTTGTGAGAATTTCTACCACCAGGGAAGCCGTACAGGTACTAGCAATGGGGAGACACTGGAGTTGTAGCAATGACCTCAGGCATTTGGACAGGGTTTGGATGCTAAAACTGATGTAGAAGGTACACTGACTTCAATTTCTGTGTCTCATTGCAGGAACGAGGATTTGAACCGCGAGAGATTAGTGCAATGTGAACCAGCCATGGCAGACACTTAAAATAATATTATTCTTTCCTACAGTTTATACTGTAGTGTATGTAGTATATTTTTGCTACTCTATATAGTGTTTCTCATGCTTGGCCTCCTATAGCAAAAGAAAATTAGAAAGTGGGGAGTGATTGGGAGATGGGAGCGGGCTGGGGAAGTGATTTAGAAAGTGATCCGAGCGCATCTGAAAACAAAAAAATCTTTAAAATTGACTGAGCCAAACCTGGAAAGCCACACAAAACAGGAAGGGAAGGAAAAGAACAGACAAAATAAACAAGAAACAAGGGGGAAAAGAGAAACAACAGCATAAGGAAAAGAAAATGAATGAGAGACAGAGAAAGGGACTTTTTAAAGAGGCCGAGGGGAAAGGGGAGGCCCAAAAGAGACATTCAGAGTCACTTGGGGGTATAGCACAGGGCGACAAGGAGCTGGATAATCGGGTGTCTGGACAGAGGGCAGGAGACAGGGCCGGCTCTAGGCACCAGCCCTCCAAGCACGTGCTTGGGGCGGCACTTTCTAAGAGGCGGCACTCCGGCCCCCCTTTTTTATTTTTATTTTTTATTTTTTTGCTTGGGGCGGCATTGCCGGGAGCCGGCCCTGGCCCAGCCACTCGCCCTGCCAGCGCGAGCTGGGATCCGCGCCCCCTGCCCAGCCCGGCGGCGCCCTGTACAGCGCTGCCCTGGGGAGACTCGGCGCGGCAGCGGCAGCAGGACCCCATCTCCCTCCCTGCATCCCGGGCGCCGCTTCCCTTTCCCCTCTCACCCCCCCGCTCCTCACACACTCCGGGAGCCCCTCTCGCGGCCGCTGCAGCCCGGGCTGCAGCAGTGGCTAGAGGGGCTCCCGGAGTGTGTGAGGAGCGGCGGGGGGGAAGGGAAGGGAAGACTCGGCGCGGCAGCGGCAGCAGGACCCCATCTCCCTCCCTGCAT